ACGGTAATCCTACGACCTCCTACGACTCCGAGAAGCAACTAGCAAGTGTGTACGGTAATCCTACGACTCCGGACAGCAACTAGGAATTTCGAATAGCAGCTGTATGGGTTCCTATGAACCCAAACAGCAATGGACAGCACCTATGCGGCTTCCTACGAACCCAAACAGTGGTGGACAACGCCTATGTGTTTTCCTATGAACCCAAATAGTGGTGGACAACTCCTAGTTGGCTTCCTACGAACTCAAACGCTAGTGGACAACACCTAAATGGTTTCCTACGAACCCAAACGGCGGTAGAAAGATCCTAGGTGGCTTCCTACGAACCCAAACAGCGGTGGGCAGCTTCTAGGTGGCCTCCTACGAACCCAAACAACGGTGGACAGCTCTTAGGTGGTTTCCTACGAACTCAAACAGCGGTGGGCAGCACCTAGCTGGTTTCCTACGAATCCAAACAGCGGTGGGCAGTTCCTAGACGGCTTCCTACGAACCCAAACAGTGGTGGACAGCACTTAGATGACTTCTACGACACCGGGCAGCGGCTTTGGGGCTTTGGAGCTTTGGACAGCAACCTACAACGCCCCTATACTCCAAACAGTGGCTTTGGAACTTTGGACAGCAACCTACATCGCTTCTACAACACCGGCCAGCGGCTTTGGAGCCTTGGACAGCAGCCTACAGCGCCGCTATACTCCAAACAATGGCTTTGGAGCTTTGGACAGCAGCCTACAGCGCTTCTACAACACCGGGCAACGGCTTTGGAGCTTTAGACAACACCCTACAGCGCCCCTACACTCCAAACAGTGATTTTGGAGCTTTGGACAGCACCCTATAGCGCCCCTATACTCCAAACAGTGGTTTTGGAGCTTTGGACAGCACCCTACAACGCTTCTAAGCTTCCTATAACACCGAGCAGCGGCTAGGAGCTTCGGATGGTGATCCTACGCTTCCTCCAGCGATCTACAACCTAAAACAGCACATATCCAGCGGCTTTTAAGCTTCTCACAGCACTCTGCAGTGATTAGCAGCTTCCAAACATACAATTACAGCAAAAATCAGCTTCCAATCAGCACTTCTACAGTTTTCAATGATTCCAAACAACAAATTCAAAGTTCTAAACAGCACCCTACGGCCTCCAACGACTCCAAAAAGCAATTTTGAAGTTCCAAACAGCCCTCCCACAACTCTCGCAACCGCTTTCCAAGTATTTTTCAGCACTTTCCAACCCTCTTAAAACCACCAAACAACAAAGGAAACATTCTCAAAACAGTCCCGAAACGGCAATTTAAAAATCCCCAAACCGCAATTATGTAACTCTTTAAAAGATACCCTTAAGAGTTTCAAAATAGCGACAAAACCTCTCCAACTAGGTATAAAAACTACAGCGAAACCAGTCCCAGAACATCTCCAAACAAGGTGCTTTTAAAGACTCCAAGACTCTAGCAAAATCAACACTTAAATGGTGCACAAAGCTCTCCAAAAACAGTGAACGAAAGGATCCTTAAATGGTTCACAGAGCTCCTCAAAAATAGTGAACGAATTGGCACAAAAAAAAAAACTTGCATTTAAAGGCTCCAAAACATTTAGCAAATTAGCACTTAAATGGGGTACAAAGCCTTCCAAAAACAGTGAACGAATGGGCCCAAAAATCTGCATTTAAGGGCTCCAAAATAGAAGGCAAATCATCACTTAAGTGGTGCACAAAGCCTTCTAAAAACTGTGAACAAAAGGGCCCAAAAATCTACATTTAACGGCTCCACAATAGTGAATAGACGCAACAGAAGAACGTTAAGATTCATTAAGCATGCTCACAAAATCAGCTACCACGACCTTATGAATAAATCAACATAATATTTCTACTAACATAAATAACATCATGTGTGAATGGTCTAGAGTTTCTCAGAAAAGTTACTAATGGGGTACTTGCATGCATACCACCCACTCTTATGTATTTGCTCGTCTAACACCTAAACCCCACGCTTATAGCATTCAGATCATTTATGATATGCCAAAAAAAAATCGATAAAGCCTTTCAATGGTAAGTAAAAAAATATACCTCTGCAAAGAGATGCGGCTCATAGTGTTAGATAAAAAAAATTGTTGCCGATGTAAAAGATAAAATAGAGCTTAGGTGCTAAACAAGTAAATGCATGTGTTCCTCGTATCGGATCATATGGAAGCTTCAAGCTTTGTTAATATTAGATTTTTCACAGTAAGATGGTCAAAATGGTAACTGTCACATGGTTAAAATTAAAACTACTCATAAGCTTTGTTTTACATAATTAAGCCATGCAGGTAGGCAAGCTTTGCCATAAGACATAGAATTGAAGCTTCAGTGAAATGAATCACACGAGGGGCGCTGGAATTTCTTTTCGAACCGTTTACACAATACTTGCAATTAAACACATTTGAGTTTTGAAACCAGAGAGGAAGAATAAATCTAGGAGAGCTTTATGTTCGCAGAGGAGGCGCGGGTGAGACGAGCGGGAGAAGAGCGGGTGAGGCGAGCTCGAATGGGAAGGAGGGAGTGCGACCTTTGGTTCAGGGAGAAGCGGCGGCTTCGGTTCGAGGCTTCTGTTCACAGAGACGAGTCGCACGAACTTTTCTGTTTGCGGGAGAGGAGCCGGGGGCGCGGGATCGAGAGACGCAGGCAAGCTTTCTGTTCACAGAGGAGCGACAGGTGAGGCGCAACAGGAGCGGGAGAGCTGAGCGGAAGTGAGAGAGAGAGAGGAGCTCGGGAGAGGCAGAGAAGAAAGACTAGCGGAACAGGGGGTCTTCGGTCGAATGAGAGCAGGGAGCCGAGGCTCTCGTGCGAGAGAAAGAAATAGGCCAGCGGGAGAGGAGCCGTTACTCGTATCAATTGGCGGGGGAAGAAAAGGGTTAGGAGGTTTAATTGGAAGGTATTAACACCTGAATTTTTTAATTAAGACAAAATTTAAATGATTTGTTTGAATTTTAAAATTTGAATTTCAAATTCAGGTGAGCTGGTGTCTAGCCCGTGTTCAGCCCGAGTTCAGCCTAAATTGAACTCGAGTCGAACCTGAGTTGAGCCCGGGACCGCGCACCGCTAAAAAAAATGTGCATCGATATCCATGCTAGTTGCTCGCACGCGAAACCATAACGATATGGGTGTCCTTCCTAGCTAAAGTCGACGTCGGACGCGTCGGCGCGGTCTGTTTCGTCATCCGGGGTCGTACGGGCGAGTTTGTCGCGCGGACGAGTTAAATCAAGTCAAAGTTGTGTGTGGCGCAATGAATACGCAAAATACGGCGTTATCGAGCGTTCGGGTTACAAAAGGGTTCCATAGGGGCTGCTCCTATTAATGTAGGATTTCGACTCGAGTTTCATGTGTCGGTCTTAATCAACTTAACAGAACGTCGAGGATTCAGGACCGCCTATGCGAGACTCGAAAGAGTGACGAGGTGGCTCAAATTTTCTCAATGGTGTGGGTTCCGTACTAGTCCTCTAGAAGGGGCAAACAAGAGAAGCCTAAAGCTAGACCCTAGATTTTAAGGAGAGAAGTGAAGACGCCATCCAAAAATGAGGTCAACACAGGCTCACGAGTAAAAGCTAGAAAGAGAATAGGGGCTCACGGGTAAGGACAAGAAAATGGACAACTTCACAGCAAAGAGAAAGCCTCACGGCCAGAGGCACCCGAACCAGCCATGTCACAAACCAAGGAACCACCACAGTAAGACTCACTGCCAAAGGAGAAAACCAAGCCCCAAACCAACCACATTCACATAAAAGAGCTACAGGTGAAGGCTCACGGCCAGGGGCGGCAGAGAACACCATGCAGGACAAAAAGAAACCAATTAAGATGCTCATGCGTAGGGGCAGCAGACCAAAAAACCAGCTTCACAGCAAAGGGTAAGCCACCACAAATATCACCATTTTATTCCTTTGATATACATAAAAGAGTGAATGGACAAACTCACATAAACTATCTAGATTGAAGCAAGGAGAAGGGGGTTGTGGGGTTTCCTGGAAGGCGGTAACAAGTTGGAAGGGGTGGAGTGGTAAAAAGTTGGAAGGGGTGGAGTGGTGCCTGAGAAGGCTGGAAAAGGTAGGGACGGCAAGAAACTAGTGAGAAGGGCAGCAGGGAAGGTCGGAAAAGCAGGAAACTGCAGGAAAAGGCAGCAAAACAGTTGTTCTGGGCAGCTGCAGCAAGGAAAGGTGGCGGAGAACGATGTGGAGCAATAGGGGAAAGATGCAAAAGGTTTTGGGGAAGAATAATCACCACCTCAGAAGCAAGATACAATCGGAGCACCACTCGACCCTAGGGTTCAACCTTAGAAGGGAGAAACGGAGATGACAACTGCTGTCCCGAACAAAACTTACAAAAAACTGAACCTAAAACATCAGGAATACAAATATATAACTCTAGAATAACTAGAAGTGGACCCCACTCCCAATGACATCAATTCACCATAATAAAAAAAAAACTTGTAACCCTATTTATAGAAATTAGATTTACAATTTAAATTAAAAAATAAGTTTATAATATAATTCAAATTTTAAATACATCCTATCATCTGATTCAAAATTAAGAACAAAATAATCCATATCTAATTTAAATAAAAATAAGCCTAGTGAAATAAATACAAATTCAAATTTATGAATTAATCTTATCTAGATTTAGTTTAGACTTTGTTTATTCACGAGTCTGACTTTGAGTCCTTGTGCTACATCTCATGCGCACATTGAAGGAAAACATTTGATCAAAAAATGACAAAAGGGTCGAGCCAATGTACAATTCGTGAGGAGGAGGAGGGCCTGCATATTTCTCAAAGAAGAAAAAGAATAGTTGGAGAGTTCTAATATGCAAAGACAGTTTTACAAAAAATTACTTCATGTAATATGATCATCATAACTTTAAAAAAAATAAAAAAAAAACATCTGCCTGTCATTTAATAAAGATCAATATTGACTGATATAAAGAAAAAGAAAGGAGTTCGAATGGGAAGCTAGAAAATTTAGAAAGATTTACATACATACCACTTATTTCTTATGTATTTGCATATCTAAACTTAAACTTCACTTTTTACATACAAGCCACCTTGCCTACACATGAAAAGGTATATTTCATTTTTTAAAAGTTAAAGAAGTCGTATATTTTATGTGATATGAAAATTTTGGGTGGTATAATTGTAGAAAGTAGAGTTTGGGAGTTAAATACATAGGAATTGGGCAGTGTGTATGTAAATGCCCCAAAACTTTTTTCGAATTACCTTGTTCACAGCAGACTCCAGATTAATAGATCCCTTCTTATCAGAGACTTTATTCTGCATTAAAATATAACCCTCAGGCACTTTTGCGCCAGATATAACTTCCAATAGCCAGTCTTCAAACCTTGTTACAGCTTTCTCCAAAATATCAACTATCCCCTCATCAATTTTATTGTCATTGCCAACTTTCATAGTTGGTGAAAGACCAGCATCAAGTACGATATGTTCAGCCAGTGCAGGACCATAGCTTAATGCTTCACCGAGAATTGCTTTCAAAGAAGTTTTGTTAGATCGAGCACCATCGTTAGCTTTCCCATTCTTCCCCAACACGTTCTTAGTCTGCTCGAATAAATTAGACGAGTTGGTGCCACCTTCGGTAAGGACAGATTCTTCCATAAAATCTGATGTTTTGCATAGTGTAAGAGACATTTTTAACTTAGAAAAGTCGGTTCTTTTGAAAACACGGCAAGCTTCGACCGGATAGCGGTGACGCGACATGATTGCCAATCCCTTATCATCATCTCTGAGGAAAAAAATACATGTAACAATTAAAAGATGTTATTTCTTCCATTGAGAGAAATTAAGCCTTACGATATGCTTTAAACTCAGTATATTGCAACAAAATAACAGTACTAACATGAATTCATACACAGGAGGACAATGATGCCATTTTCGACAACTAATTGGTTGTGCTGCTAACAAGCTATGTTCAGCTTAGGGAATTGATAATAATTAAAAAGAAATTTAGATATAAACCACAAAATTTTTATGTGTTTACATATCTAACACCAAAAGTTTGATATATACAGTTTTAACATCTTGGTGTCATAAGCCTATGCATTAAAAAGTGTATTTCACTTTTGAAAAAATAGTGATAGCACTATTTTTTATGTGATAACAAAGTTGAGTGGTATGCATATAAATATAAGATTTTAGGTGTTAGATATGTAAATACATATGAACTGTGTGGTATGTATGTAAATTCCCCATAATTAAATTCCATCACGCAATGAATACAGCTAGAACTTCATTTCAGTCCAATATGGTTCAATTCGTTTCAGTCCAATATGATTCAACGATAATTCCTGATAAAAGTTGCATCCACATTTGAGGCATTAGTAAACCTTTTCATAGTTACGTCATTCTCCCTTGAAACGTAAGTACAATTTCAATTTCTGCAATAGTTTTTCAAATACATTCTTCGTTTTCCAATTTCCATGAACCTTGAGTTTGGCGTAGGGTCCCAAGATGATAGATATATATATAGAACACTGTCATTGCCGGATCTCAAGGCCCGGCAATGAAAAAAGTAGAGGGTTGCGTTAGGTATTCAACAACCAACATAAAACATGTCGAAAAATCATGACAAGAATCATTTTGATCATTGTGTAAATGCTAGAACGTCCCCTGGTAGTGACGCGTTGTGTGGTCTGGATACAATGAAAAGTGTGCAAGGGTCAATACACCGACCCCCGGGTGCCGTGTCAAATAAAAGGGTTCCCACAATACAGACAGATGTGGATAAAAAAGTTTGTCCATGAAACTAATATTAGGATAGAATCTTGAAATATAAGTACTCTCACAAGTAAATTAATGAAATTAGTTGATATTATGATTCATAGAAAAATTAATATCTTATGTATTCAAGAAACTAAGTGGGTTGGAGAAAAGGCTAAGTAGATTGATAATTTAGGTTTTAAATTGTGGTATTCAAGTAAGAGTCGCACTAGAAATGGTGTAGGTGTGATTAAGATAAAAATTAATTGAATTAGAGAAAGAATTATAGCCCTTAAGATTATTTAAAGAAAAATTCTGGAAAGACCTAAAAGACTTATTACAAATGATACCTCTTAAAGAAAGATTTTTTATTGGAGGAGATTAAAATGGACAATTCGGTAGAGGGGTAGAATATTTTAAAAATATTCATGGTGGTTGCGGTTTTGGAGTGATTAATGAAGAAAATATAGTCATATTAAGTTTTTCTTTAGGGTATGATTTTGTTATTAATAATATTTTATTCAAGAAAAGAGATGAGTATATTATTACTTATAAAAATGGATCTAATGTTAGGTTTTTCTTTAGAGTATGATTTTGTTATTAATAATATTTTATTCAAGAAAAGAGATGAGTATATTATTACTTATAAAAATGGATCTAATGTTAGGTTTTTCTTTAGAGTATGATTTTGTTATTAATAATATTTTATTCAAGAAAAGAGATGAGTATATTATTACTTATAAAAATGGATCTAATAATAATCAACATCTATTATTAGGTCTGACTTTTTAGATGAAGAGTTGTAAAATAAAAAAATACAATAAAATATTATTATAGAATTAGATGGGGGCACCTAAAAGATAAATAAAATCAATTTTATGAGTAAATTTCAAGATTTTAATATTTAGGATGCTCATGATGATGCAAATGCTATGTGGGATAAATTAACAAACACTATTAAACAAGTAGCAAAAGATGTACCTGAAAAATCAAACGAAAATGTTGGTGGAATAATATCAATAAATAAAAATAGTTTGTGGTGGAATAATAATGATAAAATGTTAAAGAAAAGATAAAATATAAGAAATTATGTTATAAAAATTGTTTAAATATAAAAACTTAAAAAATTGAAAAAAAATATAAAATGGTTTGTAGAGAGTTTAAGACAATATGTGACGCTAAAAATTATGTATTTAGTGATCTTTATAATACATTAGATACTAAAGAGTGTGAAAAATATATGTACAAACTAGTCAAACAAAGAGAAAAGAAAAGTAAAGAATCAATTCAAGTTAAGTAAATTAAAGATGAAAATCAAAAAGTGTTTTTCTTAGAAAAAGATATTCAACATAGGTGGCTGAGTTATTTTGATAATTTTTTTAGTAATCTTAATATTGTTAATAATAATAAAATATTTCATTTTTACCGTCACATTAATAAAAAGAAAGTTGAGAAGGCCTTAAAGAAAACCAAGAGTGAAAAGTCTGTAAGACCTGATGATATCTCAATTGAAATGTGGAAATACATACGAGATTTGAGAGTTTCTCGGTTTACTTCTGTAATACGATTTTTTAAAATAAAGGAGATGCATGTGCATAGAAGAATTAATTTGATGTGTCATACTTTAAAATTATGGGAGAGGATAATTGAACATAGGTTAAGACGTATTACAAATATTTCTTATAATCAATTCGGATTTATGTTGGGCAGGTCTACTATGGAAGTTGCACATTTATTGAGAGGTTTGATGGAGAGTTCTAGAGAAGAAAGATGTTGATATGACTTATATTCCAGTCATTAAATTTTGCCAAAAATTATATTGACTTCAATTAGTTCATCATCCTTATAACATCAATAGAATCTAACTCGATCAATTTGCATTTATCTACAACTACACTTAAATACTAGGCTAGGTGCTCTTTCTTTGCATTCTAGTCTTTATGAATTCTTCACTTGAGCCCATTTTAAAATAAACAAAGCTCAAACTAACAAGCTAATCTAGTGCTCAACATTAGTATCATCATAGTCACTACAAATTGAATTGCCTCTAGAAACTATTAAAAGGAGGCCAAAAAAAAATAATTATTATCAAATCTTAAATAAGACACATGAATCGCCTATGCCCTCGGGAACAATGGTGATATTTTTGGAAATAGCACACTACACAGACGTTGTCAACCGCAACCAATTGAACCCATTATTAGAATGCCAAGCAAGCAAACTACAACAAGTAGCGGCCAAAATAATTATACGGCGTTTAATTGGTATTTTGTTATAGGACTTCAATTCATTGCTTTAAGATGAATGTTAGGCGCTTAATTAGGCAACCAAAAGCTGAAGCATGCCTGACGGAACAAGTGTTTGAACATTAGAGAACATGTTTTCTAAGGAATCATCATAAGAAATATTACACCACTATAAAAAATATAAAATTAGAAAATCAAGCATTTACCAAAACGTTGATTAATTTGCATGATTATTTGCTTCATTTATTTCTCTTATGTTACTTCCTAATTTGGAATGAAATTGTAAGTTAATATGATGTAATTTGAAAGGCATAAAGAATGTAAACTAGGAGATAAATATGAAATTACAAACTTCCTATCCACCATTTAATTTAGGGTGCTCGAAAGAGCATGAGAAAAAACATAATTCTCCTACTCAATTATCTACATACTAAATAAGCAAAATACTTTTAATGCACTAGAGTCCACCATAAGCTGATAAGTTATTCAAATATACAACCATATAAGTTATAATAAGATTCAACAAATAACTAACTAATATGAATCATGATTTTAAGGAAGATGTTAAAAAAGACGTTACCAGTAAGCTTTCAACTGACAAATTAAAACACATTCATCTTGATAAATCTAAGATAAAAATCAAAATCCAGTTCCCATCATAAATCAGCAAAATCCAGTGCCCACTATAAATCAACAGGAAAGAAATCCTATAATTCGATATCTTCTAAGTTCATAGCATAAGCATAGACATATAAGAAAATCTTGTAGCAAAATAAAAAATAAAAATCAATTTAGATGGCAGTTAAACAGCGACTATAGCAACAAACCTATGTGATCGTAGAAGTGTCATGACTGTAAACTCGGAGTCTGTTAAAATGATATTTCCTTGGGCATATAGCTCCAAAATAATGTAGTGAGCATTAGCACCCAATCCAAATTGGAAAAGAATGATCTGAGCAAGCAAAAAAAAAAAAAGGTTAAAGATTGGTACTAAAATCACTCGCTTAGAATGCCATAAGATCAAAAAGAAGTTAACAGTTAAACTTGATGTATATGGGTTCAAAAGTAGCCAATTATCAACAGATGGCCACTCATTAGAGTGGCACTGCTTGCAAACTCTCATTACTCCCCCCACCTACTAACAAAACCCAAGAAATAAAAAATAAATAAACACACATAATTTCCAGTTAGACCAACCTAAAGATGCTAAATCTCATGCTCACGTCACCTCATGCGTAAAAATTATTTTCCTATGGTAAAAGGCAGTAATAGCAATGAAAGTAAAAAAGAAAAATAGGTTTATAGATAGAAAATAAATTATATCAGCTCTTTTATAACATTGAATCCTTTTAAGATGTAGGGTCCCGAATTGTCCGTGGACTCATACAATCTTGGAGAGACCTTATTAAGGAGGTAGAAGGGAATCAAAGATTTTAGAGTGTGTATTGTTATTGATCATGGTGAGAAAGAAGAGAGGAGAGAGAAGACCTTCCCTTCTTTTCTTCCTGTATATCTCCTTAAACGTACATTCCCTCATAATGCTATAAATAATAAACAAATGTTATGTTGTAGGATCTGTTGTATGAAGCCTGTTAAGACTCGCCGTTGATAAGTTCCCAGGCATGGACATCATGCGGTCAAGAAATAGAAATGGACGATGATGGAACGAAGTTTTACTTCCTTCTATCATGAAGAACTGTTCAACAAACTTGTTGACGTAACTTGATGGATGCAGGCGAGCTCAGTCGAGGAGCTCGTTGGGCGTGGGCAAGCTCGATACAAAAGCTCAAGAAGCATGGGTGAACTTGATTGGAGAAGCTTGCATGAATAAAAAGTATCGATAATTTCAGTCGAAGAAACTCATATAAACAGTAACATGCTTGGCAGGGGAGACCACCAAGTCATTCTGAGAGGCAAGCTTGGTATTGTCACCTCCAAGAGTATGACCAACATGTACGACCGGTCCGTTCAATGTCAGTGCTCCAAATGCATGGTGTATGAGCTCGATCCCCTAAGCCCAGAAGGCCCACATAATGTGTGGGTTGTCCTGTTGTTTTGAAAATCTATTGTTGGATGTACATTTAGTTCTCTGGTTCCCCTAGCTCTTTGACGGGAAACTGCGAGAAGAATGAGAGAATGAGAAGAAAATTGATCGCCGCTATGAGCTGCTAGAGTGAAAGAGTTAAAGCAAGAACCATGCCCGTTCAGGGCTCAGCAAGAAGTTAAATCATATTCAACCAGACTATGATTTTCCACCACTATCAAGCTTCGCTAGCTCAATCTTGGAGAACAGTTGCAAGTACTTGTTGCTAGGCACGGACTTTCCTTCCTCTGGGGGCCTTATTGCTACACCTACAGAGAGTGGTCACAAGTGCTTCTGAGCATATGTGAATTGTTCCTAGTTTGGTGGCAACAGCTTCTTAGGTGGAGGAAGTGATCAAGTCTGATGTGTAACCGACATGGGATGTAAAATAGCTTTTTTTTTGTCGAGGTGTCCTGCGCAAGGACATACACTACTAAATGAGGAATGAAGAATATGAGTTATTACAGTCGTCGGGTAAACTATGCTCTAAGAAGATGATGGGACGTATTATGAAAGAATTTGAAACTTCCCTGTCATAAAAAATGGGATGGTTTAAATATGTTCCCTTTGTCAAAGAATAATTGTCATACCATAAGAGATGAGAGCCACATGGATACTTTTATCACTTGTTAATAAGTCCTTACTCTATTAAAAAAGCAAAATTAGATTGTTGCTAACAATAAAATTAATTTTAGTGATTATATATAAAAAATTGATTTTTTGAGTTAACTCCCTTTGTGATATATATAAGTCTTTGTTGGGGTCATAAGTTAGAGCTCACAGTTTGCATTCATTAGTTTTCATAAGGAATTAATTGTTTCTCCAATCTTTGCTCTGATGGGGAAGATCTCCAAGGAAGAAATGGACATTTTGGAGGATCGGTAGAGGGTGATCATTGAACAAAAGCAAAAGAGGGAACGATGTTCTAAAAATGTCCAAAACTCAAGGGGGAAGGCAAAGAGGCTGAGAGGACAAAGCCCGTTGAGGCGAGAAAATTGTACAAACGCCCAGCAAGAAGTGCTTCAACTCTAGTTCTCGCACCAATCTGAACGAAGCGGCCCTAGAAGAAATGTCTGCACTGCCTGCATAGGATCCTACTCCTAGTGAGGTAATAATGGCTGATTTGAAGGCTACCCCCAAGGGATAGGTTTCTGACCTTTCGAACGATTGGAGAGGCTCCAACATAGTGACGCTCCCAAACCTTAGTTCTAGTAAGTAGATATTTGTTTCTTACGCTTTCTAGAGCACTTTTACTTTGTCTAATCTAATGTTATCTTTCAATATTTTGTTGCAAAGATAAATATTGATCAACGACCCGATCCCATAGTTCCCCCCAAGTATCCCCATCATCGAGGAAGCATGGGAAATAAAGCAGGCTCGGTGGTTACACCAATATCAACCATTGGTAAACTCCTCCCTGAAGGTGTTATAAAATACAAGTCATCAATAATTAGGTAACTTTATGTTTGAAATTTCAAGGATTTGTAACTCCCGTTGGGATTACACATGTAGTCAAGTATTCCTTTATGGGGTTGACCAACTTGCACCACACCTTGGCTCTATGTTTGAAACTTCAGGTTTTTCGATGGTAGGTTGTTACAGCATCATGTCCCATTTGTGTTCTAAATGTTCGCCTTTAGAGAGGAGGTCGGCAAATTGGTTCTCTTTTCTTAAAATGTTCTCGATCCTTATTCAAACTTTCCAATCTCAGCTTTGGCCTCCGCAAGATATTTGTGTAAGGTATCATCTCGTGCTTCAAGGATTTCATGTACTTGATTAACCGCCAGCTGAGAGTCTGACTTGAAAATGAGGTGTCTCACATCGATTGCTGATGAAAATCTCAACCCGACGATCAATACCTTGTATTCAACTTGATTGTTAGTGGTGTTGAAGTTGAGCTAAATTGAATGATAGAATATGAGACTTTGAGGTAAGACCATACCTACTCGTTTCCTTTGATTTCCTGATACTTCATCCAAGCAAAATACCCAAAGTTAATCCATGATACTTGATGTCATCACGATTCAAGTCTTGTGTAAATCAGCTAAGAAGTCGGCGATTACTCGGGCTTTGATCGCTATCATGGGTACATATGAAATGTTGAATTCACTCAATTCAATTAACCACTTCAACAAACTTCTCAAGTGGTCGGGTTATGATAACATCGATTTAAGTGAATTGTCGGTAATTACGTTTATGGTGTGAGCTTGAAAGCAAGGACGCAGTTTCCTTACTGAAACAAAGAGCATCAATACAAGTTATCCATGATTGTGTATCTCAGCTTGGCTCCATGCAGAACTTACGTAATAGATGATAAATTATTTATTAATTTCTTCACAAACTAAAACAAAGCTGACTGCTTCTTTCCCCACTCATAAGTAAATGAATAGTTATTCTACTGGTTTGGGACTTTATGATAAAACATTTGAGGACAGCCTTCTATTGCTTGAATGTTAGGTCGCAATCTTCCGTCCAAACGAAATGAGTGGAATTCTTCATAATCTTGAAAAAAAGATGAACATCGTTTACCGAATTTTGGAAGAAACTTATTCAGGCCTACAATGCAACCAGTCATAATTTACACCTCTTTAAGGTTCCTTGGTGGAGACATTCAGGATTGCTTAAACTTTTTTTAGATTTACTTTTATCCTTAGGGCGTGAGCAAGTACTCAAGGAAATTTTTTGAACTCACTCACTAAACTCACTGTTGACCTCATTTTTGTGAGGTCTTTTC